CTTTTGTCATTGATCAGTCCCTAAAAGTTGATCAATCACACCTTGGTAAAGGGGGTTCCTTGCCTCATCTTGCAGTTGGGCTGCTAATAAGGACAACCAACAGAAGGGAGAAGGAGCAGAAAGGATGAGGGGTTGGTTTTCCAGGCTCCAGCCCTCTCTGCAGGAGCGTTGCTGGCAAGGGCCCCAGACACCACACAAAGCTCTCTCCATCTCCAGATTGGTTCTGAGGTTCTGGGGACGCCTCCCTTCCTTTCTCTTCTGTCTTATCCAGTCCTAGAGTTGGGAATGGAGCCTTCCCCCACTACTAAATCAGGGGTGCTGTATGCTCCCTTTTGGTTTCCCTGCATTCTGCCCACATCTATGTAAGTAGTGCCTTGATTAAACTGTTGTCAATTTGCTCAAATTGAGTGTAACATCTGTTTCCTGCTGGGATGTTAACTGATACAGAAATTGGTACTGGAAATAGCTCCAGGAAGCAGCCCCTCAACATGGGATCCTAGGATTGAGTTACTCTCTTTACCACAGGGAAGGGGGACATGAGGAACCAACTGCATGTGGGAGATCATGATTATTCAAATGAAAGTGGAAGAGAATGAAGGGCAAGTAGAGGGCAAGTTGTTAGAAAGTGGATTTGATGTAGCAATTAGTCCCTATGGTGAGAATATGGATTACAAGATTGGGGCGTCAGGTGGATTTTCTGATAGCTTTAGAGCAGTGGGTCTCAATTGGCGGCAATTTGGCCCTCTAGGAGACTTTTGGCAATGTCTGAAGTCATTTTTGATAGTCACAACTTGGGGATGGAAGGTTACTATTGGCATGTAGTGGATAGATACCAGGGACACAGCTAAACATCCTACAATGTACAACCACAGTTATCCAACCCAGAATATCCACAGTGATGAAGTTGAGAAATTCTGCCCTAGGGTGGACTGGAAAGCCATGATTATCAAATTAAGAACATGGGTAGAAATCAGGAGTCTCTGCAACAAATCTGAAAGAGTTTCGTATCTCCTGGAGTCAGCGGGGCAGGTAGGATGAAAGACCAAGACAGGTGTCTGATCACAGGACTGCAGAAGAACATTTAGCCCTCACAGGCCTTGCACGCCAATATTAGCATTCCTGCTACTGAAGCATGGGCCCTGAGACAATGAACCCAGAAGACAGGTTCAGGATGTAGAACTCCCAGATCTTTCTAAGAACTCCTTAACTTCCCCATGAAAAGGAGCCAGTCTTCCTCTGCATAAAACCTTAGGAATGATTTTACCCAAACTATCGCGGCCACAAGCCAATGCCAGTTTTCCTGAGAACACACCTTCTCCTCCATGCCTACAGACCCGTAGTTAAAGTTAGATTCCAGTACAGCCAGGACAAAGAAGCTCCAGGGCTTCTCTGGAAAAGGATATCTATCAGAAAATGTCTATATCATGCCAAATGCTATCGGCATGGGCCTGGGGAGCGTGTGAGAGAGAAGACTGCAGGAGGATCAGGCATGAGGTGTGAGCATGTCATTGTCAGTAGAATCTCTGCACTCACTGCAGGATTTGTATTTAATGTGCTGCATCAAGCTCCTGGGCTAATCTTGATCATCGGCTGCGTTGGTTGACTGAAGCTGAAACTCAACAGTGGTTTACCGTTTGTGAAGTGCAAATCCTGCAACTACCCTGGAATGTTCTGGCAGAGATTCTCTGATCCTATCAGGATCATCTGGGGAATGCTAAAAATACAGAAGGCTACTCTGTGACTACTCTCCGCTACTATTCTAGAACAGTGGCTTTCAAACTCCAGTAACATCCGAGGCACTTGGGGAGCCTTCAGAATTCACAAAGCCAAGTTCACCTTCCAGATCAATCAAATGGGAATCTCTGGGGGTGGCACCAGAGATTCTTGTGTGATTGACACACAAGATTGACAGCCACCAGAGGAAGGGATCCAAAGGTCCAGGGGAAGTGCTGGGTTCTTTGGAAGCGGCCCCTGCAATGTGGATTCAAGATTCTATCACAAATCTCCCCCTGATGTCCCAAAGGAGTCTATCGACGACATTAACCAGTATACTGATGCAGTGAGAACAAGGACATACCAGGGTGCTCCAGATCACTGCAAAGCTCTGATCTGACTCTGACTCCAGCTTTCCATCTATGCCTCTGGAGACATAGATGGTTGCTGTGGCTCCCGGCCAAAGTCACACAGTGAAGATCAGGTGATAGATGGAACTGTGACCTGTGTCCTTCCCACAGTGGAGCAAGAAAGACTGGGGGTTCACCCTGTGATACTGCTCCCGTCCCTGAAAATACAGTAAAGATAATAGACTCATTAATAGACTCAGTTACTGAGAGAATTTCCTTGTTTTTTTATGGTCAATAAATTAAACACTAATCTAGAAATCAGGAGTAGAAAAGGCTGGATGGAAGCCCCTGGAAATGCTTCCCTTCCCACTGGCCTCGCCAAGACCATCAACCAAAATAAAATCCATTTATCTAGAGTATTTAAAAGTTAAATGTTCCCACTGAATGTTTAAAAACTGCTTGAGTAACCTATCACATCCCACTTCACCTCGCCTGCTTGGCTGGTACAAAAAGGACATGGGTCCTGGACTCCCTCTCCAGCGGTCACGTGGCTGACCCCTGCGTGGTGTGGGCAATCGACCAACCACAGAGTGTGACTTCCCACAGGCGGGCAACCGGCCTGCTACCTGATGGCAAGTTGTTAATTTGGACTCCTTTCTTCAAAGAGAGATGACTGACTTCTCTTCACAGGGGCAGACACACTCTTGGTAGAAATGGGTCTTCATTGCCTCTACTTCTGCTAGTGCCACATTCACAGTCCCACGGAATGTCTCATTCATCTTCGTGTGGTCCTGCCCACACTGCATCTGTTCCAGAAGCTCGTTTTCTGGTGAAGAATGTGTGGCAGTGCAATTCAGTGTTCTCAGCTCCTGCCCTTTACCCCAGATGCTGAAAGCTCGGTTGTGATAGCAGTTGGGAGACAGTAATCTGCCAAGCTGGGCACCATCTTACAGGACACAGTGGATCCCTTAACCTAGAGGCTAAGCATGGTGCCATGTCACCCACAGCCACCCTCAAAAACTGAGCCATGGAGGCAGACGTGTTCCTGGTTACTAATAAAAGTTTTGACAAATATTTGACTTGAGTCTCCAGAATCTCAGCCTTATTAGATTCAGAGGTTTTATGCCCAAGCAAATTATGTTTCACTAAGAAACACAGTCATGATTCAACAATTTGGAAGCAGAGACTTTTTCTGTGCCCTTTTGGACCCTTGATATCACCAAACCAGCAGACAGAGAAGGAGCTGCTCTCTGATCAGACATGAGGGCAAAGAGGACTAAGGACACCAGAACGAGGAGATTCTTTATCAGTAGAGAACCGTGGCCATTGGTGAAGATTGAACACTCTAGACCTCATGGCCCAGCTACAAGAAGATGTGTGTCATCCCTCCAGGCAGAGGACCTGCTAGATGCAGACTAGCAGAGCATAAAGAGAATACAGAAAGGCTGGAGGAAGACGTTGGTGATGATGCGCATAGCAGAGGCCACGTGGAGAGCCAGCTCTGATGCATAGCGTTCTCCCTTCCTTTCATTCTCTGCTGCCTTGCACAGGCCCCTGGTTGCAAGTAATATTTCAGGCTTCAGGCAGGAGTACGTCATATCGACATTTCCCCATGATAATATCCTAGCTGAGGGGATTTCCTGGGTTGTCTATGTTGAGGACATGGGCTTCTGACCTGGATGAATGACAGCAGTGGAGGCTGAGAAACCAGCGGAACAGACTGACGGGCACCATCCACTGGCCCCTTAGATCCACAGATGCTGTGTGCCCTGGGAGCGCAATCAATAAGAACAGATCCCATGGCCTCTGGCTTCCAGTTGAGTGCAGACCACAGGAAGCCCTAACAAGAAAGAGAAGGATGGTGCAGGGTGGAGAGTGAGGTCAGGGTCCTATGGACTAGCGACCAGCTTCCAAGGAGGTGATGGACCCCCAACACACAGCTTGCAGCTGCTCTAGATCTTGGTTCGCTTTTTGGGCCTTTTGCCCATCAGGCCCAGGGTGCTCCAGAGCACTGTGCCCCATGCTGTGCTCTGCCCACACATTTGTAACAAGTTTCTTTATTAAACTCTCCTCAAATTACCCAATTTGAGTGTGCCATCTGTTTTTGCCAGGACCCTGACTGATACAGTTTCTCTTTTAATGAGGTTTTTTTTCCTATTTTTTTTCTTTCTATGCTATATCTAAAAGGATTTAGGAATTTCCAATTAAAAGAAAAGTTTGTAAAAAGAAAATGAAAATGCATTTTTCTTTTCTTTTCTTTAACATTTTGGGATGATAAATTCTAAGAAGCCGTGATTTTGGATTGCAGTCTGCTGAATTACACTGTAAATAGCTTTGATTTGGAATTGTGTGCCCTAGAATCAAGGTTATTTGCAAATTTATTTTGCCAAAATCAGAAACCAGGTTTGAGAGGCCCAATCCTCTTATTTATGGGAAATATTTCAACAAACTGAGCATAATTGTGGAAGGAAAGTATAGAAACATTTTTCCTGCCTGTGTATATCTAATTTGCCAACCACAAACAATATTTAAGCCATTCATTTGAGCTCATTTGCTCAGTTATTGTGGTTCCTTTAATCAGAACTATAGTTCTCTCAGCACGCTCCTGCCCAGCTGAGGATGTGAATTCAGCACACTGCTCTTAGTACACTGAGTCAGAATTTCCGAAGACTCTTCAACAAGCTAGCCAAAGAAATTAACACCTTTTATTCCTCTTCGAAAACATTTAACATCCAAACACAGGCAAAAATAAAGACATCTCAGGACGGAAGTCATAAAATAAGGGTTCAAAACAACATGATATTTAGTAATATCAGGAGTAAAATTATTCTTTTTTCAGATAACAGAAAACTTCAATTGTTTGTTCTTGTCGCTATACATACATAAATTATGTTTAATCACTAACTGTATTATTTTATGCTCAATTTCAGGGCTGTTTTTCAATTATCTCAATGTTAAAACGTGACTCATTTGGACTCAGTCATTATGAAAGCACCAACATTCAAGAAGACAATAGGGGCTGAGCGCTTCCACTGCCCAATGTGCGCTAGACCCTAGGTCAACTCAGAAGTATTGGAGACAGTCATCAGTGTTGTGGCAAATGTTACCTAAGTGTGTTGCAAGACGACCCTGAGGTTCCGATGAAGGTGTGGATCATCATAGAGAAGCCACATGTGACTATCAATGCTTTCTGCTGACAATAAATTGGAAAGTTTTATTCAAATTTGTCAAATTGGCGAAAAATTAAAAATCACCACAAAATTACTTTGCAAATACTAGAAAAACTGAATGATCCTATGTTAAGAGATTTCAGATAACTTCATAGCATATTTTTATATATTCGTGATATTGTGAAATATGTATTTGGTCTTTGTACATGTTTCCTGGTATACAGTTCCTAAAATCCTTGACGTCTTCCAAGTGCTTTTTTATGCTAATGTTGACTGATAGTTTCAGGGTGGGACTGATCAGCAGAAAAAAGCATGAGTAGGGAGATGGGGCTTTCAGCCCCACCCCTAACCTCCAGGGAGCAGAGATGAAGGTCAAATAGATCACCAGTGACCAATGGTTCAATCAATCATGCCTATGTAATGAAGCTTTCATAAATCCTAGGAGGACAGGATTTAAAGAGCTTCCTGATAGCTGAGCACGTGGAGACTGACGGAAAGGTAAACAAGAACGGATCCGTGAGCCAGGAAGATGGACCTCCCGCATTCCAGCTGGACAGAACAGAAGCTTCTGCACTTGGGACCCATCCAGACCTCACCCTACGTATCCCTTCATTAGCCTGTTTATTTGTGTTCTTTAAACTATCCTTTGTAATAAACCGATAAACATAATAGGTATTTCTCCAAGTTCTATGAGCCACTCTAGCAAAGTAATCAAACCCAAAGAGGAGGTTATGGGAATCCCAAGTTGAAGCCATTCAGTTGAAAGTTCCAGAGGCCCAGACTTGGAACAGGCACGAAGGAGGTTTTGTGGAATTAAGTCCTCAGCATGTGGGATCTGAGGCTATGTCCAGGTAGACAGAAACGGAACTGAATTGGAGGACACCCAGCTTATGTCTGCTACAGAACTGATTGCTCCCTTCCTGGTGGGGAGAAATTCCCACACATTTTGTGGTCACAGTAATCTTCTGTGTTGATTGCTGTGCTATGAGACCAGGGGAGAATCACAAATTGAAGGATTTTTCAAAACATTTGTAAATAGATCATTAAATAATATAATTACATACTTAATCATCTCCTTTATGAAGAAACCACAAGGCCCAGATCTTTTTATGTGCAAGTTCTAAGTATTCAGTAAATGAAAATTTCCATATTACAGAAACTTTTTTACAGTATATTCTTCAACTTAATTATTGAGGAGAGTTTGTTTTTGATACCAAAACCAGAAAAGAATAGTATGAGAAATAAAAATTACAAGTTAAACTCATGAATGTGAGCAGATTCACTCTGCTCTAACTATTGCAAATTGATTGCTGCAATGAATGAGAACAACACAGAAATTTATCCCAGGAATTCAAGAATGGTTTCCCAATTTATCCAATATCATGCATGAATCTCAAAAGCATTAGGTTGAATCTTTTTTTTAAGATATAAAAGACTACATATTTTATGATTCTGTTTACATGCCATTTGGGACAGAAAGGGTAGAGTTTGTCTGGAGATGTGGGAGAAGCTTGGGTAATTTTATGGGGTAATAGAAATAGTCCATATATTGATACATAGTGGTAAGGGTTGCACAGCTGTGTATGTTTGCCAAAATTCATTGAACTGTATACTTAAAAGGAGTAAATTTGCTTTTTTTCTTGGGACGGTAGAGGCCGTGTGGTGTGGCCATTACTCCGAGGAGAGATCAGTCGGTAGAGGAGAAGGCGAGGTTAGAGAGGACTGGGAGGCATTTTGCTGTCTTCAATCGAAGTTGAGGGTGCAAAATGCAGAGTAATAAAACGTTTAACTTGGAGAAGCAAAACCATACTCCAAGAAAGCATCATCAGCATCACCACCAGCAGCAACAGCAGCAGCCACAGTTACCGCCAATACCTGCAAATGGGCAACAGGCCAGCAGCCAAAATGAAGGCTTAACTATTGACCTGAAGAATTGTAGGAAACCAGGAGAGAAGACCTTCACCCAAGGAAGCCGTCTCTTTGTGGGAAATCGTCCTCACGACATCACCGAGGAAGAAATGAGGAAACTATTTGAGAAATATGGAAAGGCAGGCGAGGTCTTCATTCATAAGGATAAAGGATTTGGCTTTATCCACTTGGAAACACGCACCCTAGCGGAGATTGCCGAAGTGGAGCTGGACAATATGCCACTCCGTGGAAAGCAGCTGCGTGTGCGCTTTGCCTGCCATAGTGCATCCCTTACAGTTCAAAACCTTCCTCAGTATGTGTCCAACGAACTGCTGGAAGAAGCCTTTTCTGTGTTCGGCCAGGTGGAGAGGGCTGTAGTGATTGTGGATGTTGGAGGAAGGCCCTCGGGCAAAGGCATCGCTGAGTTCTCAGGGAAGCCAGCTGCTCAGAAAGCTCTGGACAGATGCAGTGAAGGCTCCTTCCTGCTAACCACATTTCCTCGTCCTGTGACTGTGGAGCCCATGGACCAGTTAGATGATGAAGAGGGACTTCCAGAGAAGCTGCTTGTAAAGAACCAGCAATTTCACAAGGAACAAGAGCAGCCACCCAGATTTGCACAACCTGGCTCCTTCGAGTATGAGTATGCCATGCGCTGGAAGGCACTCACTGAGATGGAGAAGCAGCAGCAGGACCAAATGGACTGCAACATCAAGGAGGCTCGTGAGAAGCTACAGACGGAGATGGAGGCTGCACGCCATGAGCACCAGGTCATGCTAGTGAGACAGGATTTGATGAGGCGCCAAGAAGAACTTCAGAGGATGGAAGAGCTGCATAACCAAGAGGTGCACAAACGAAAGCAGCTGGAGCTCAGGCAGGAGGAATAGCGCAGGCGCCAGGAAGAAGAGATGTGGCGACAGCAGGAAGGATTCAAGGGAACCTTCCCTGATGCGAGACAGCAGGAGATTCGGATGGGTCAGATGGCTATGGGAGGTGCTATGGGCCTAAACAACAGAGGTGCCATGCCCCCTGCTCCTGTGCCAGCTGGTACCCCAGCTCCTCCAGGACCTGCCACTATGATGCTGGATGGAACTTTGGGATTGACCCCCAACAACTGAACGCTTTGGTTAGGCTGCTACAATGGAAGGAATTTGGGAAACTGGTGGAACTCCTCCTGCATTCAACCATGCAGCTCCTGGAGCTGAATTCGCTCCAAACAAACGTCGCCAATGCTAATAAAGTTGCAGTGTCTAGACCCTTTTTGGACTAGCCAGAATTCTACCCTGGAAAAGTGTTAGGGATTCCTTCCAATAGTTAGATCTACCCTACCTGTACTATAGGGAGTATGCTGGAGCAGAGGGCAAGGGAGGGGTGGTATAAACAAATCATGCGTGGTATAATGTTTAATCAGTTCTGTGTGGTGCATTCCTGAAGTCTCAAATGTGATTGTTGAGCGCCTGGGGAAATCATGGCAAAGTGGATCCAGTTAGAGCCCATTAATCTTGAACATTCTGGGTTTTTTGTTTTTGTTTTTGTTTTTTGTCCATCTTGTTTCATTTGCTTGCTTCTTGCCTACCTGGAAACAGAGTCTCTCTGTCACCCAGGCTGGAGTGCAGTGTGTGATCTTGGCTCACTGCAGCCTCTGCCTCCTGAGTTCAAGTTTGTCCAGGCTGGTCTTGAACTCCTGACCTTGTGATCCACCTTCCTCAGCCTCCCAAAGTGCTGGGATTACAGGTGCAAGCTACTGTGCCCAGCCTCATTTGCTTTCTTATCCTTAACACTCCCCCAGCCCCAGAGAAACTGCCACATAAACCACAAAAACCAAACATCCCCCACAGGGGGATGTGTTACTGTTCACAGCTTTTCTTGATGGCCTAGTACAGTCTTGGGAACAGGATTTCTGTATACTGAAAGTCTAACAGTAGCTCTTAGACTCGCCTCTCTTAGGTAGTCATGCTGTGCATTTTTTTCATCTGTGTACCATGTTTGATTTGTCTGATAAATTTGGAGTTTTTCTGAGAAATAAAGCAGTAATGCAGCATCAACTTATTAAAATACATTTTAAGCCTTTAAAAAAAAAGAGTAAATTTACTGCATGTATAATACACCCCAATAAATCTGACTTTAAAATAGAACTTATATATACATATATATAAATTTCACAAATATATATTGAGATATATGTTTATATCTCAAAACCATCTTTCCAATCTTATTTTAGAATATTTTAGAAATTCCAGAGCATAGAGAAAAAGGGAAATAATGCATAATGAGACTTGGAAAAATTAAGACAATTTCCATTATTCATACATGATATTGTTGTCTATATTAAAAACCTTAAAGTATCTACAGAAAAATTACCAGCAAAGGTTAACAGCATTGCTAGATCTAAAATCAGCATAAGAATGTATTATGCATTTTATTTGTGGAAACAAGCAAAAAAATAAATTTTAAAAACTGGATAGTAACAAAAAATAAAACTACCTGATAAAGGATAACTATGACCTTTAAATAGAGAATTTTAAAACATTATTTAAGTTACTAAGATATGACATCATTTAAGACCCAAAAAAGAATCACAAAACGTACGATGTTAATGGAAAGTCAGACTCAATATTGTAAAGAATTCATTTTACGCAAACTAGTTTTACAAAAAAAAAAAAATGACAAACCCATTCTAAAATGTATATGGTAGAAGAAAGAGATAAGGAAAGCTAAGATGTTTCTGCATAGCAAAAATACATGAGGGCCTTTGTCTCAGTATTTTTCCAGCCTTATTATAAAAAAATTATTATTAAGATAATGTGGAGTTGTTACAGGTATAGGTAAATTTTTAGAGGAACAGGATAGAGATCTTAGAAACAGCCCTATGCCAATATGTAAGTTTGAAAAATATCACAGATGTAACATAAATTATCAGTGTGGAAAGGATGCACTTATTAAGGATGGTACAAAAGGTTTAGAGGAAAACAAAGCGAGGATCTCAACTTCCTCCATACACTTTACAAGAATTCCTGGTGAATCAAAGATTTACATTTCAAAGTGAAAGTTTAAAATTTTTATGAGGAAATATAGCAGGATACCTTTAAGACATCAAAATAAAGTGTTGCTTAAAGCATTAAAAGGGCAATTCAACAGTAGATTGATAAATTTGACTACATTAAAATTAAGAACTTCTGTTCCTAACACCACATTGTAAAAAAACAAATCATAAACTGGAATGTATTTACCACAAAAATAACTGACAAAAATTGAATAGCTAGGATATACTGTGATGGTGTTCAGTCCTATCTGAAACAGTTAGGTTATTTTTCTTTGTATTTTTTCTTCAATAAATGATGATATACTAAACATCTTTGTATTCACCCCCTTTTGCTAAGAGTGTAATTGCTATGTCAAAAATGCCATGATTTTCGTTTACATAGATATGGCCCTACCGTGATGTTTTCTCAGTTAACACTGTCGCAGGCTGATCATAGTTCCCAGAGAAAGTCCTCACACAAATTCCCAAAACCCAAAAATGTTGCCTTATTTGGAAAAAGGGCCTTTTCAGATGTGATTAAGTTAAAGGTTTTGAAGGTGCAGGAGTCTGTAAATCACATCACAATTTTCCCTAGCCAAGAAAGATACAACACACGCAGAAGAGGAGGATGGAACGTGAATGTGGAGGCAGAAACTGAAGTGATGCAGCCACAAGTCCACGAATGTCAGCAGTTACCAGAAAAGAGAATACATTTCAGTTGTTTTAAGCCACCAAACTTTTGGCAATTTGTTATGGTAACCTCCAAGTAATGCTCACTCTCATCAAAGTAAGTACATGAGAATGTTGTCTTTCCTATCCCCTGCCAACAAAGTATAGATTCTGATAGCAGAAAAATAGTATATTATATATTTAATTCATATATTTATTCTTACAAAAAATGTTGAGCATCATGGTTGAGACTAATTTATATTTTCCTTCTCTGAACTGTGTTCATGCCTTCATCCAGATTTATACTGCACTATAATTTTCCAGAAGTTCTGTAGACCCTTTTTATAGATTATGGAAAAGAATCATTTACTCATAGGTGTCACAAATATGTATCTATTATTTATATTGGTATTATAATATTTTCTATCCAGAAACATTGGATTTTTTAATAAAGCTAAATTTATTTTTTTATTACAGCTTTACTGAGTGAAGATTACTGTTAATATGATGCACTTACATTACATTGTGGTAGTAGAGGGGCTTCATTTTGTGATTTAAATTACTCACCTTCAATTTATTTTATTATGAGTCAGTAGAAATAGAAATTCATACCAACCATTTCTCAGTCAATCCATCCTTTTCCCACAATGTGCCAACCTGCCTTTAAGAGATATTAGCAACTTTAAATATATTTAGGTCTATTTCTAGATTCTCTAGTTTGTGCTAGTGATATGTTTACATACTCATACACTAATACAAATTGCTTAACACTGTTGTTTCCATTTTTAATCTGTTTTAGTATGTAGTATTCCTAGTCCCACCTGTTAATTCATCCTCTTACATTTCAATTTCATATGTATTGAAAACATGAACATTTTCCTTTTTTTTTTTTTTTTTTTGAGACAGGGTCTTGCTCTTGCCCAGGCCGGAGTGTAGTGACACAATCACCCCTCACTGTAGTCTTGACCTCCTGGGCTCCAGCAATCCTTCCACCTCAGCCTCCTGAGTAGACACCCACCACTACACTTGACTAATTGGTTTTTTGTAGCTACAGGATCTCCCTGTGTTGCCCAGTCTGCTGTCAAACTCCTGATTTCAAGTGATCCTCCTGCCTCAGCCTCCCAAAGTACTGAGACTATAGGCATGAGCCATTGCAACCAGCTGAAAACATTAACTTTTTAATGAGCTTGTGTTTTCACCACATATTCCTTCAAAAAAAAAAAAATACCTGTGGTCACATAACTTTAAAATGCATTCAAGTTGACATCTTTGCAATATAAAGATTTATGTATAGCCTTAAATGGCATTTGAAAGTTTTCCTCAAACAAATATCGGTCATTTCTTATAAATTTGTTTCTAGACACGTATTTTTGTAGGTCTTGTAAATGTGATATTTCTCCAACTTTTGGTCTGACGGCCTTAATTTTGAACCCAGAAATTCTACAAAATTTTGTTATTGCTTATGTTATATCTTCAATTGATTCCTAGGTTTCCTATACACTGTGTGTTACTAAGGATAATTCTGTACCTTCTTTGCATTTTATTCATTTATTTATCTTATTTGTTTATATTGCCTAATAACTTTAGAGTAATTTTAATTCATAGTGGTGTAAATTCATAGTGGTGTAAGTGACCTTATGAAATTTAACAAGAATGCATTTAGCATTTTTAAATAAATATTATTAGAATATATTCAAGTTCTTTTTTTTTTAATTTATTTATTTTTTTATTTTTATTTTTTTTTAATTTTTTATTGGATTATAGGTTTTGGGGTACATGAGCAGAGCATGCAAGACAGTTGCGTAGGTACACACATGGCAGTGTGCTTTCTTTTCTTCTCCCCTTCACCCACATTTGGCTTTTCTCCCCAGGCTATCCCTCCCCACCTCCCCCTCCCACTGGCCCTCCCCTTTTCCCCCCAATAGACCCCAGTGTTTAGTACTCCCCTTTCGGTGTCCATGTGTTCTCATTTTTCATCACCCACCTATGAGTGAGAATATGCGGTGTTTCATTTTCTGTTCTTGTGTCAGTTTGCTGAGGATGATGTTCTCCAGATTCATCCATGTCCCTACAAACGACACAAACTCATCATTTCTGATTGCTGCATAATATTCCATGGTGTATATGTGCCACATTTTTCCAATCCAGTCTATTATCAATGGGCATTTGGGTTGATTCCAAGTCTTTGCTATTGTAAACAGTGCTGCAATGAACATTCGTGTACATGTGTCCTTATAGTAGAAGGATTTATAGTCTTTTGGATATATACCCAGTAATGGGATTGCTGGGTCAAATGGAATTTCTATTTCTAAGGCCTTGAGGAATCGCCACACTGTCTTCCACAATGGTTGAACTAATTTACACTCCCACCAACAGTGTAAAAGTGTTCCTTTTTCTCCACATCCTCTCCAGCATCTGTTGTCTCCAGATTTTTTAATGATCGCCATTCTAACTGGCGTGAGATGGTATCTCAATGTGGTTTTGATTTGCATCTCTCTGATGATCAGTGACGATGAGCATTTTTTCATATGATTGTTGGCCTCATATATGTCTTCTTTCGTAAAGTATCTGTTCATATCCTTTGCCCACTTTTGAATGGGCTTGTTTGTTTTTTTCCTGTAAATCTGTTTGAGTTCTTTGTAAATTCTGGATATCAGCCCTTTGTCAGATGGGTAAACTGCAAAAATTTTTTCCCATTCTGTTGGTTGCCGATCCACTCTAGTGACTGTTTCTTTTGCCGTGCAGAAGCTGTGGAGTTTCATTAGGTCCCATTTGTCTATTTTGGCTTTTGTTGCCAATGCTTTTGGTGTTTTGTTCATGAAGTCCTTGCCTACTCCTATGTCCTAGATAGTTTTGCCTAGATTTTCTTCTAGGGTTTTTATGGTGCCAGGTCTTATGTTTAAGTCTTTAATCCATCTGGAGTTAATTTTAGTGTAAGGTGTCAGGAAGGGGTCCAGTTTCTGCTTTCTGCACATGGCTAGCCAGTTTTCCCAACACCATTTGTTAAACATGGAATCCTTTCCCCATTGCTTGTTTTTGTCAGGTTTATCAAAGATTGTATAGTTGTATGTATGTTGTGTTGCCTCCGGTGCCTCTGTTTTGTTCCATTGGTCTATATCTCTGTTTTGGTACCAGTACCATGCTGTTTTGATTACTGTAGCCTTGTGGTATAGTTTGAAATCCGGATGCCCACCGCTGTGTTCTTTTTGCTTACAATTGACTTGGCTATGCGGGCTCTCTTTTGGTTCCATATGAAGTTCATGGTGGTTTTTTCCAGTTCTGTGAAGAAAGTCAATGGTAGCTTGATGGGGATAGCATTGATTCTGTAAATTACTTTGGGCAGTATAGCCATTTTCACGATATTAATTCTTCCTAACCATGAACATGGAATGTTTCTCCATCTGTTTGTGTCCTCTCTGATTTCGTTGAGCA